GAGGGAGGAGGAGGAGAGACGCGATCGGTTTCGTGTGCACGTCAGAGATGCAGACGCAGAAAGGGAAGAGGGAAGAGAAACGTGGGTACCTCAAACGGAACGGCAAGAAGCGAGAAGCCGGAGATATCAATCTGACTCGCTTCCTTGCCCGCCTGAAGCTTTGAGAGGTAGGACAGCACGTTCTGACACCCTCCTGCCAGCCACGCCATCACAACAGCCTCCAGAAGCGAGCAATGGCGTCACCGACGAGAACTTCAGTGGGAGGAGATTTGAGAGGAGAGTTGTCGAGCTTGAGCTCCCTGAGGTTCGTCAGGTAGCAGAGCTCTGGCGGCAGCATCGTCGTCTGACTCACTCTCAGTCCCAGCCAGTATGGAGCGGGAGAGGAGGACAAGATTAGGGAGAGGAAGACGTGCAGAAAGCAACCAGGAGCATGCAGGAGGAGGAGAAGGTGGAGGAGGAGGTGGAGGAGAGAGAGAAGGGAGGAGTGAGGAGTTAGGAGCAGATAAGAAGGGAGAGTAACCTCTGTAAGCGGGAGCCATAGTCTGATCAGAGAGGAAACGAAGCTGAGAGAAGGGTTGACGACTAGAAGTTTGTTGCAGTCAAGCCGGAGGACTGACAGATGTCGAAGGCTGCCGAGGGAGGTGGGGAGAAAGCGAATGAAGTTGCTGTCGAGGAAAAGCTTCTCGAGCTTGGAGCACTCGGAGAGAGAGCTCTCGACTTCTTGCAGTCGATTCTTAGAAACAGAAAGAAACACCAGCTGCTGCAGCATCGGGATCCAGTCCGGCAGCCTGTCCAGCTGATTCTTCTCCAAACTCAGTCGAGTCAAGTTGGTCAAGACGTGGAAGGACTTGGGGATGCGGGTGATGCTGTTGCCGTCGAAGAGAGCAGTATGGACAAGGAGCGGCTCGGGTAGTCCTCTCCTCACATACATCATCCCCTTAGTCGTCAGCCCGAAGTCTCGCATGTCGAGCTCGCCGTGTACCGATTCCTTGAGGTTCTGAAGGAACTTGAGGAGGAGGTGGATGCTGATGTCGACGAGCTCCTCCGGGATCATCTCCCAGGGGTTGTCGCGGATGTTGAAGCGCTCCAGGCTCTTGAGGTTGGCGAACTCGAGAGGAATCTTGCTCATCCGGTTGTGGGAGATGTCAAGGTCAGTCAGCTGGAGAAGGCAGAGGCCGAGGGTGGGAGGGAGACGATCGATGCGGTTGTGGTGGAGGTGAAGAGTCTTTAGCGCTGTGAGCTCCTCGATGCAGACCGGAAGCGTCTCGAGGTGATTGTAGCTCTGCTCGCTGCTGTCAGGCAACGATTTCGAGCAGTAGGGGCGAGGAAGAAACAGAGACATCAAGAGCAGGAGGAACACTATATGATGATGAAGAAGAAGAAGAAGAAGAAGAGCAGGAGGAACACTGAATGATAATGATAATGATGATGATGATGATGAGAGATGAGGAACTGGAGAAGGAGATGGAGGAGGGGGTGGGGGGGGGGGAGTTGGGGGGAGAGGAGGATCGGAAGGGGCAGAAGGAGGTCTTACAAGCCAGAGGCTTTGCAGGCTCCATGCGAACTCGAGGGTCTCAGGAGGGAGTCTGAGGAGGGAGAAGTCGTGAAGGTCAAGGCTGTTGCTGTGCCTGCAGTCAAAGAGCGCGCGGAGGTACCGCGAGACGACTCGTCCCCCTCGCTCAATGACTTCAGGAGGAGGCGACCAGATCCTTTCGTTGTCCTCCGCCTGCAGCAGCTGCATCCTCCCGTACTCGCTCTCTCCCTCCTTCCGCATGCCGCCCACAAACTTCTGCCATTCTGACTTGCCCTTCATGTCCTCCGGTAACTTCGGCAACGGCGAACCAGGAGGACGAAGAACATAGTCCAGCAGGGGCCCACCTCTGAGCAGATGCTCGCGCATCTCAATCTCCTCGAGGGGAGGGAACGAGCACGAGAGAGCGCCGAGCTCGGGGGGCAGTCGCTGGAGGTTGTTCCCTTCCAGCCGCAGGAGGACGAGGAGCTTGAGGCGCCAGAAAGAAGGAGGTAGAGTGTCGAGCTTGTTGCGTCGCAGGCTGAGGACCCTCAAGGAAGTGAGGGAGCCGAAGCGAGGAGGAAGAGCTGTAAACTCATTGCGATCGAGGTAGAGATGCGTCAGGCTCTCCCAGCAGCCGTCGAAGAGAGGAAAGACTCTCAGCGCGTTGTCGTTGGCCTCCAACGTCGCCAGGTGAGGGAGGAGGGAGCTGTCGGCGATGCAGTCGGGGAGGGAGCGGAGGAGGCAGTTGTTGAGGGAGATGGAGCGAACGTGAGTCCATCCTCTGACCTGCGCGGGGAGATCAGCGAGAGGGTTCCCGTCGAAGCTGAGGTGAGTCAAGGAGGTCATGTCCTCGTTCTTGTGCATGGACGAGGACCAGACCAGGTCGCTGACCTCTCGAGGAAGGAAAGTCATCGATAGACATCGCAGGTCCAGGTGAAGCCCAGCTGGCACCCCCAGCTTCGCGTTGCCCCTTGCAGTCAAGAAGTTGCGAAGGTAGACAACCGTGGCGTCGGGCAGGGCACCGGAGGAGATGATCTCCTCCATCCAGCTGCTCCCCCCCTCCTCCTTCACCTGCTGCAGCAGCGCCTCCGGTCGGACCTTGAGACCTTCCGGAGGGCCTCCCATGTTGTTGCCGGAGTAGAGAATGGAGGAAAGAGAGGCGATGAGGCAGAGCTCGTGCGGGAGAATTTCCAAGTGATTGTCTTGAACATCCAGCAGCTCCAGGCGGCGGAGGCTGCCGAGGTCAGGATGGACGTAAGAGATCTTGTTCTTCTGCACGAGCAGCTCCTGCAGATGCACGAGGCGAACGAGCGAGGGAGGGAGGACTGAGAGGTTGTTGTCGCTGAGATCGAGACATGTCAGGCTCGTGAAGCACAAGATGTCATAGGGGAAGTGGCGCAGGTCCATGCCGTTGAGGGCGAGGCGACGAGAATGAGGGATCTGATGGAACATGTGGACGAACTGAAAGATGTAGCGAGTTCCCTTGAGACGAACAGGAAGTGGAGGAGATCGCCATCTGTTGTTGTGCCAGCGCAACCCTCCTCGCGCCAACTCCGCCTCCTTGCTGTCAAGAGGGTCTCCGAGCTGCCAGCCGTCGCAGAGGTTGGTCAGGAAGAGAAGTTTGTCACTGAGGTCCACCAGCAAGTTGTTCGAGACATCGAGCTCACGCAGGCTGACGAGGAGGGAGAGGTTGGGATCTAGAGTGCCGGAGAGACGGTTGTGAGAGAGGTCGAGGCGGGTGAGGGACGAGTGGAGCAAAACTTCCAAGGGAACGAAGAGCAGGTTGAAGGAAGAGAGGTTGAGGTCCGAGAAGCGGGAGGAGTCGAACCAGCGGCGGAGGTATGAGCGAACGAGGCCCCATCCTCGTATCACCACCTCTTGCGTCGGGATGAAGATCATCTCCGGGTCGTAGGAGAGATCTTCGATGCTTGTCAGGCAGCAGAGGTCCCAAGGGAGGACGGTGATCCTGTTCCCGTGCAGGCGAAGACTTTTAAGCTCCTCGCCCCACATCAGCGGCTGATGCTGCTGGCCCACCTCGATCAGTTTCTGCTCGCCGCTGTAGTGCATGCTGATCAGCTTGTCCAAGTGAAACTCCTCAAGCTCCTGCGTTCCCTTGGTATATCTGTCAAGGTCGATGAACCCGCAGGGAGGGAAGGAGACGATGACGTTGAAAGAGAGGTCAAGGAACTGCAGCTTGCTTGCTCGCGCCAACGACATGGCGGGAACTTGCGAGAGGCGGTTGTGCCGGAGGTCAACATATCGAAGCCGCGAGCAGTACGAGAGCATCGGCAGCTCCACGATGTTGTTGAAGCTCAAAACCAGAGTGGTCAAATTGACGCAGCCGGACATGCTGCTCGGGAGCTGAGAAATCTTGTTGTTGTTGGCGATGAGCTCCTGCAGGCTTGTCATCCTCCCGAAGGTCTCGGAGAGCGGCTCCTCCAGCTGGTTGTGCTCTAGATGCAAGCTCTCGAGCAGCTCCATAGAGCTCCAGTCGAAGCTGAGAGCTGAGAACAAGTTGAAGTCCAGGCGGAGGGTCTTGAGATTTTGGAGGTTCCCCATGAAGTTTGGAACGAAGACAAAGTCGTTCATGGAGATGTCGAGGGTGGTCAAGTTGGTGATGTAGAAGGCTTCGATGGGGAAGTAGACTAGAGACATGTCGGAGAGGATGAGAGAGTTTGTCTCGTACGCCGTGATCATGTACCTGAACTGCTCCATGAGGTTCTGGGTGTTGCGAATAACAACCTCGGACGAGATGCGCTCTGAATCCTTGGAGACGAGGTTGTGCGAAAAGGAACGGATCTCCCGCAGACTCTTCATCCTGCACAGCTCGAGGGGAAACTCGCGGATTGGACAGCCAAGGAGCGATATTCGTTCCATCTTGCCGAGCCGCTCGAACTCCTGGGGAAGATTCTTGAGGGGGTTAGAGTCCAAGAAGATGTTCTTCAAGTTCTCAAGCACGGAGATGCGGGGAGGGACATGAGAGATGAGGTTGTCGTTGAGCCGGAGCTCCGTCAGGTTGGTCATGAGGTAGACGTCGTCGGGGATGTGTGAGAGTTTCATGCCCGACAAGTCCAGCATCCCCGAGTCTCGAGCAAGGTGCAGCGAGTCGACATACCTCCGAACGTTCTTGATGCCTGCAATCATGATGACCTGAGCACTGTCAGCGATCACCAGCAGAGCTCGACTAGAGACAAACCTTGGGCACAAACTCCATGTCCATTCCCGACAGATCGCACACGTCCAGCCGAGTAAGAAACCTGAGGTCCATAGGGAGGGAAGAGAGACGATTGTAAGACAAGTCGAGCTTCACGAGTGAGTTCCCAAGGTTGCGGATCTTGGGAGGGATGCTGGTTATGACGTTCCTGGCCAGCGACAAGTCGGTAAGAAATGTGAGGAGCAGAACCTGAAGAAAGAGGTGTCAACACCTAACAGCTCACACTCGTTCCTTCCACTACCTCCTCTGGAATCCTTGACAGGCCCAAATCATCGAGGCTGAGGGACTTGGTTGATCGCGATGTTTGCAATCTCTCGAGGTAGTCGAACAATCGTGTCCGTGCGGCAGAGACAACTTCTTCCTCCTTGGTGTACATGGAATGTTTAGTAGCGCCAGAGCTCTTCAATGCCTCCCGCAACTTGTATAGGGAGATGAAGAACTTGCCGTCGTACTCCACCTGCCATGTAACTCTGGGGTACTGCAGAGGGTTGTCCAGAAACGATATTTCTTTCACATGTTTCAGAAGGTAGAATGTGTCAGGAAGTTTTTCGATCTGATTGTCATAAAGCGTCATTCTTTGCAGTTTTGTTAAGGACACCAAAGTGTCAGGAACTGCCCGGATCTGGTTCTTATGAAGCGATGCGAAGACTAGGTTGGTCAAGTTTCCGATGCTCGCAGGGATTTCAACAAGACAGTTGTTCTCAAGGTTGAGCTGGATCAGATGCTCCATCCTCGGGCATCCTATCAGGGGCGAGACTTTGAGAAGGTTGTTGTCGTTGAGAAACATCTGCTTGATGTGGCGAATCGTGTACACCTCCGACGGCAGCGGCTCCCGCAGTCCCATCTTCGACAGGTCGACCTTGGTGCTCTTGGTTGCCATGTAGACCCTCTTGCTGATCTCATAGTTGTCGTTGTAAGGCGACCCGCTTTCCGTATGCTCTTGTATCCAAGCCTCGAGCGCATTTTCATTCGAATTTTGTTTCGACGCATCCTCGTGTGGCTGTAGCGTTGTGTTCATCATGTCAAAACTCAGTCCAGCATCGACATCCTCATCCTCGATGCTCTCGTCGGATGACAGCATCCCTTAGCTCTCTAGTACTTGATCTTCAAAATATGGTGGGAATCTATTCGTAGTCTTGAGTCTCTCTTATCCAAAACTTCTCTTGACAGCAATTGCATTACCTCGGTCAGATATCTCTCTGTTCATATTTCCAACCTTCTCACCGTCTTCCCATAGAAATCTGCGCGCTGCTAGTCGTATCGATTTCATCCAAACCCCCCAATGCGAAGTTCTTGTACACAGGCATATCGAGTCACTGTTACTCTTCAAGCATGTCGCAAGAACAGCGCGGTTTCTCATCGCATTTCATCTCTTTCTGGTTCCACACAGCCATGGGTATTCTTCGTCTACCCGCCATCGCTGCGTTCATTCTCCTTGCGCACTGCCTTGGCCATCGTCCCGACCAGACTGATCAAAGTTTTACTCAAACCTTAAGTTAGTACTTAACACCTCATCCCCCTCATACAACTTTGCTTCATGAGCGGGGAGGAGGGCTTTGGAGCATGTAGAGTTCTCTATTCGAGGCTCTCCAGGCCGAAACCTCAGAAGAGGAAGAGGAGGAAGAGGAGGAAGAGGGAGGGAGGGAGGAAAGATATGGATGAGAGGGAGGGAGGGAGAGGGAAGGAGCAGAGAGAGGTGAGAGAGGAGCGATAGGAGTCAGAGAAGAGTCAGAGAACAGAGAACAGAGAACAGAAGAAGCAGAGGAAGGGAGGGAGGAGAGAATAGAAGGGAGGGTGCACGAGGAGTGCCGCTAGGGTAAGGTGACGTAGATTGTTCAGGGAGGCAGAAAGTAGAAGGACGGGAGGATAGTCGGTCTCTTACCTCGTCCTTTGGCCTGCAGATTTACCCGATGGTCGCTAGTAAGGCTAACCATTCCTCCGACCGACATGTCATATCAAACTCAGAGCGAAAGGACAGGAGCATCCGACTCTGGGGAGGTGGCGCGAGCTCGGAGGGAGAGATTGTTTCTCACATGTTCTTGCAGAACGAGGGCAGCTCGCGCTAGAGAAGGGGCATGTTTGCGTGCTGAATGCCACAGTTGTTGCCACTGAAGTGTTGAAAAACCTTGTCCTGCCCGGAGTCGGAGCATTCACCATCGTTGATAACCATCGTGTTAGCGGTGAGAGATGTGAATGCCAGAGATTGTGATGGCGATGGTGATGGTGATGGTGATGGCGATGGTGATGGTGATGGTGATGGTGATGGTGATGGCGATGGTGATGGCGATGGTGATGGCGATGGTGATGGTGATGGTGAAACATTCAGAGCGGGATCTCGGAAACAACTTTTTCGTGACCCAAGAAAGCATCGGCGAGCCTCGCTGCCATGAGGTCATGAAGAACTTGCTGGAGCTGAATGAAGAGGTCAAGGGGCACGCTGTCAACGAGGTGAGTTGACCTTGTTTCCTCCTCCTCCTCCTCGGACCTCTCCTCCTCCTCGGACCTCTCCTCCTCCTCCTCCTCCTCCTCCTCCTCCTCCTCCTCCTCCTCCTCCTCCTCCTCCTCCTCCTCCTCCTCCTCCTCCTCCTCCTTCTCCTCCTCCTCCTTCTCCTCCTCTTTTTGACCTTGTTTCCTCCTGCTCTTGCTTGCACTGCTCCTTTCTCTCCCCCCTCAGTGATGCTATTGGTTCAGGATGCGTGCGAGATCATCATGAGTAACTTGGACTTCTTCAACGACTTCTCCTGCGTCATCGTGTCGGACCTCCCGGAGAAACATCTCCTCCTCCTCGCAAACAGGCAGAGCGACGAGCTCGTTCCTCTCCTCCCCTGACCTCGCGCAGGCTGTGGGAGCGAGGGATCCCTCTCTTCCTCGGCAAAGCCTACGGAATGATCGGCTTGTGGCGCAACGTGATCCCCGAGGTTGGGCCTTGGAGGGAGGAGCAAGCGCGAGGAGCAGGAGGAGGTGGAGGAAGAGGGAGGAGCAGGAGAAGGTAGAGGAAGTGGAGAGGAAGCGACTACGAAAGATTTAGAGAAGAAAATTGTCAATCCCGTGACAGGCGTAGGAGCGGGAGCAGGAGCAGGAGAAGGAGAAGGAGCAGGAGCAGGAGCAGGAGCAGGAGCAGGAGCAGGAGCAGGCTAGTTCTGATAACCTGATAGGTGTGCATAGTGGAGTCGCGGCCAGAATATGCCAAGGAGAATTATCGCCTGGCAAATCCCTTCCCCGAGCTTTCCGCATTTGTGGTCGGCTACTCTCTTCCTGACCATTCCTTTCGTTATTCCTCCTTCCTTGACACTAAAACCTTGACGTTGCCTGCCCTGAATGCTCTTTTCTTCTCACCCTCCTCCCTCCTCTCCTCCCTCTCCCCCTCCTACTCTTTCACCTCTCAATTCTACTTCTACTGAACGAATGTACAGGAGAAGTTCGATCTCGAGTCCTGCAGGCACCCTTACATTCCTCTCACTGAGACAAGTCAGTCTTTCCGTCTCTCCGTACCCGCCCCAGCTTCCTCTTCCTCCTCCCTCTCCCCTCCCCTCCCCTGACCTCCACTCCCATATCTCCTCCTCCCATCTTGTCTTCTCCTCTTTCCTGCCTTCTCCTCTTTCCCTCCTCACTGTCATCTCCTTCTCTCCTCTCTCCCTCCTCTCTTTTCGCTCCTCGCTTCCCTCCCTCCTCTTCTTCTCTTCTTTTTCACACCATCATGCACCATCAGGATCCGGACCGAATGAATTTGTGGATCAGCGAGGACGTCCGATCGTCCCCAAAGCTCATTCGCACATCCCAGCGTTCGTCCTGCTCATCAAGGCATGGGAACAAACCCTCCTCTCATTCCATTTTGATTTCTGCTCTTCGTTGAACCTTCCTCCTCCTCCTCCTCCTCCTCCTCCTCCTCCTCCTCCTCCTCCTCCTTTTCACTCCCCCCCCACCAACACCCCCTTCTGCTTCTGCTCCTTCTCCCCTTCTCCTCCTGCAGCTCCTACTCCCTTCGCTTTCTCCTCCCCTTCTCCTTCTCATTCTTTTGCCCTTCAGGCTCTGCAAAGATGGCGAGCAGAGCACGATGGAAAGATGCCGCAGACAGGGCAGGAGAAGGATCAGTTCCGCGAGCTACTCGACGACTTCCAACTTGCTGTTGGCAAAGTAACTTTGAGAACGATCGATGTCAAAGTTCTCACGCTCTGCTTTCTTCCTCCTCTTCCCTCCTCCTCTTCCTCCCTGTTTCGTCTCCTCCTTTCTCTTGCCCAGGATGAAGAAAACTTTGTTGAAGCAAAGGCGCTGGTAAGAGGGGAGAAGAGAGCTGGAGCCTGCAAACAGGAGGAGGAGGGGAACCAGGAGAGGATCCAGGAGGAGAAGCAGGAGGAGAAGCAGGAGGGGAAGCAGGGGAAGGAGGAGGAGGAGGAGGAGGCAGTGACAACTTGCAGGCGCGGCATGCGTACTCTCCGTTCGAGATCCCATCGGAGGTGAAAGCGATCTTGTCGGACGCCAAGGCAGGAGCAGACAGCAACTGCCAGGTGAGAGAGGAGGAGGAGGAGCGACGCAAGTGAACGTCTCGCAGGATCCGTTCTGGATCATCGTGCGGGCGCTGCGAGCGTTCGTGGAGGGCGAGGGAGGAGGATGCCTCCCCCTCAGTGGGATGCTCCCCGACATGCACGCCGACACCAAGAGCTACATCGACCTGCAGAATATCTACAGGTCTGGAGCAGGAGCAGGAGCAGGAGCAGGAGCAGGAGCAGGAGCAGGAGCAGGAGCAGGAGCAGGAGCAGGAGACAGAAATGCGTTGTAGAGGGGGGGAAGGTGAAGGAGAAACCACGAGTGAGGGAGGAAGGTGGAGATTGACGAGGAGGAAATGAGGAATGCAAGAATGCTAGCAGGAGCAGGAGCAGGAGCAGGAGCAGGAGCAGGAGCAGGAGCAGGAGCAGGAGCAGGAGCAGGAGGACAAGTCTGACAGGGATGGCAGGGAACAAGCAGCGAGGGACTGCAGTCACGTCTCAGCTCGGGTCCAGCAGATCTTAACCTCTATGAACCAGCGAGCCGACGTCATCTCCCAAGCTGAGATCTCCCTTATCTGTAAAAATGCTGCAAACATCCGCCTGGTGAGACTTGAATTCATTACTGTCCCTCTCCACACCTCTCACTGCTACTTTACCCTCCTCCTTATCATCATCATCAGCATCAGCATCATCATCATCATCATCATCATCCTCATCATCATCATTAGCAGCAGCAGCACCGCCACCATTCTTTCTCGGATTCATTCTTCTACCTCCCTTCCTCACTGTTGCGCAGGTGCGAACGAGGTCGCTGCAGGAGGAGTACACGTCTCCCTGCTGTGACGACTGGGGCTGGATGCTCGACATGCCTGAAGAGTTTCCCCACTACCTCTACGTCCTCCTACGTGCTGCAGACCGATACAAGGTAACGCTTTCCTTCCTCCCTTTTCGTGTCTTTTCTCTCCTCCTGTCGTTGCCTCCTCTCCTCTCCTCTATCGCCCTCCCTCCCTTTCTCCCTCCCTCCCTCCCTCCTCCTCCTCCTCTCCTCCTCCTCCTCCTCCTCCTCCTCCTGCTTCTGCTCCTGCTCCTGCTCCTGCTCCTGCTCCTGCTCCTGCTCCTGCTCCTGCTCCTGCTCCTGCTCCGGGTCCTCACCTTCCGATGGGGATGCCAATCTCGCTGCACAAGGCGCTCAAGATTTCCTTGAACCTCGCGACCTCGGCCTCATCCAGCGGCTGCATCTCCCCGGGGAAAGACCCGAAGTTGGTCTG